CCTAGCTGGTTTGGCTCAGTGGATAGAGCGTCGGCCTGGGGACTGAGGGGTTCTGGGTTCGATTCCAGTCAAGGGCACATGCCCGGGTTATAGGCTTGATCCCTGAGGGACGTGCAGGAGGCTGCCAATCAATGATTCTCTCTTATCATTGATGTTTCTATCTCTCTTTCCCTCTCCCTTCTTCTCTGAAATCAATAAATATATATTATAAATAAATAAATAGCTCACGGGACCTTCACCTTATACCATATATAAAAAATTATCTTAACATGGATTAAAGACTTAAATATAAGAGATAAAACTCATAGAAGAAAACAGGTTTAACGCTTTGTGAGTTGGATGGATCTGGCAGATCATTGTATATGTGTGTTTTTTAAAAAAAAGGTTTTTATTCATTTTAGAGAGAGGGAGGGAGAGAGGGAGTAAGAGATAGAAACATCATTGAGAGAGAATCATCGATCAGCTGCCTCCTGCACACCTCTTACTGGGGATCAAGCCCTGACCGGGAATCGAACTGGGGACCTCTTGGTTCATGGGTCGATGCTCAACTGCTGTGCCACACCGGCTGGGCTGTGTGTGTTACTTTTGATCATTGAGCTTGTCAAGCCTGCCATGTAGCCCCCCTGAGCTTGTCAGGGTTATTGCACAGCCCCATTTCCCTTCTCATTAGCCACCATTGCCTTTGCATCATCAGTGCAAATACAAACAGTTTAGACAAAATATCACCTTAATATTACTATGAAAATATTCTTGACATTGCATACTCCTTAAGAATCTCAGGAATTCAAAAGGTCTGAGGGCTTTGTTTTGAGAAACATTCCAACAGAGGATATGTAAGAAAAAAATCCATGCAACCAAAGGCTTGTAAGAAAGGGGGGAGCACTGGGGAAATTTGAACACTAGCTGAGTATTTGGTATTAAGTGTCGATGAAAGAACATCCAGCCTAAGAATAAGTCTTACAAGAGTTTATTTGAGCCAAACTGATGACAGTTACCGGGAAACACAATCTCAACGGATTGAGAAAATGCTTTGGAGAATGATAGTTTTATAGCTTATTTTATATGTTGGAATCAAAGGACGACACGGAAGGGTGGGTTACGTAAAATCCATTGATGGTAGATTAGGGAGGCAGGAGAAAGCAAAGCAGGGAAATCTCTGTGATTGGATAAAAAATAAAACAGACACACTTCTTTTACTTTGATGGGTACAGGATAGTTAACATGTACAGCACACAGAGATGGTATGGGGGCAACAAGATAACAATGAGGGGTCTGTGGTCTCATACTCTGCTGGGAGCTTGTGCCCTAAGGGGTATAAAAGGGGGGTTTCTTTGACCTTCCAAAAAGACAATAGACAGGCTCGCTGAAGGCAGTAAAGATTGACTTTTGTCAAGGAAGCTACAGGAATGACTACCCACCATGACTTGCTTTCAATTAGGAATCTTTATGTTCAGACCATCCTCTATGGTTACTTTCAGTCTCTGAGTTTGTAATGCCCATCATGAGCCTCCCTGAGCTTGTCAGATTTAGGATGTGGCCCCTTTTTGTCCACATAAGGAATTAATAGTAATTTTTTTTTTTTTTTTAGGTATGATAGGGGTGTTGCAGTTTTCTGTTTTATATGCAAAGGGCAGTCCTTATATTTTAGGGAACCTACTGAAGTATCTGAATGAAATGATATGATGTCTAGGAATCACTTCAAAAAATTCAGTGAAGTGGAGAAGCGGTGTGGTGGGTGGGGAGTTTAGGTTAAACAAGATCAGCTTTGTGTGATCATTGTTCAAACTGGCTGATGGGTACATGGGGGTTTTTTAATGCTCTTCTTTTTGCTATTGTGTATGTTTGAAAATGTCCATATTAAAGAAGAATATGCCTGACCGGTGTGGCTCTGGTTGAGCGTTAAAGTAAAAGGCCCCCATCTACTGAGCCAGTTTCTTACACAGCAGGGAAGGAAGTGACATTGTCTTCAGTGCAGAGAGCATTCAGAATCAGAACCCAAGAAAAGCCATTGAAATGCAGAGACCCTGGGCAAATCACTTAACGCCTCTGATCTCTGCACCTATAAAACTGGGATAATGCTCTTTAGCTCGGGTTCTCTGAAGAGTAAGTGAGATAATAGAAAGTGTCTGGCACATAGTAGGCACTGCACAGGCAGGCACCTCAGGGAAAGAGTCAGGATTGTGTCTGTGTTCACTCTCTCTGGGATCAGAAAGATGAGAGTTGCAGGGTGGAAGGAAACGAAGTAGCCTTGGGATCAGTTCACAGTTTGAAATGAATGAAAAAATGTCCCTGGAAGTTGTGTGGGAGTTCGGCATTTCCTTCTGACCATGGAACTTCCTTTTGTTTGCATTCCTTTGTCCTGATTCAGAGGCACTGGTGGGAAATTTAGTTCCAGAGTCACCTGCTTCATATTTAAGTCTGAAGAAATCAGTGCAGCAAGGAAAGCCCCTTTCCTTCCTCTCTATGTTGATCCACAAAATGTACTAACTCAGCGGTTCTCAATCTGTGGTCACGACCCCTTTGGGGGTCGAATGACCCTTTCACAGGGGTCGCCTAAGACCATCGGAAAACACATATATAATTACATATTGTTTTTGTGATTAATCACTATGCTTTAATTATGTTCAATTTGTAACAATGAAATTGGGGGTCACCACAACATGAGGAACTGTATTAAAGGGTCGCGGCATTAGGAAGGCTGAGAACCACTGTACTAACTGAAAGAAATAGGGCTAGCCCTGTCGGTGTGGCTCAGTGGTTGAGCATTGACCTATGAACCAGATGTCATGGTCTGATTCCAGGTCAGGGCACATGCCCGGGTTGCAGGCTCAATCCCCAGTAAGGGGTGTGCAGGAGGCAGCTGATCAGTGCTTTCTCTCATCATTGATGTTTCTATCTCTCTCTCTCCCTCTCCCTTCCTCTCTGAAATCTATTTTTAAAAAAGAAATAGGGCTAAAAGATACCTAGCTAAAATAAGTGACTCCTGACATTTATTTCCAGGCTTTAATATTTTTGTATTTCTTTTCTTAGAAGCAAGAAAATATATTCCACACCCCTGATTAGCTGATTGTATGCCCAGGCATTTTTATCTGTGTGCGTAATGATTAAACTGGTATTTGAAGGTAGTGTTATATAACTGTGTGCATGAATCAGTACAAAATGAAGTTATAAAACACAGGGAAGTTCTTAAAATAACCATATTCTTCGCTTAATTTTAAACTTAATTTTGCTTTTCTGAAGAGGTGCTGTTAACACACATTGCAGAAGTAAATGAAAGTGATGTAAAAGGGTTATGTACATCCCAGCATCTCACTCCCACTCGTGCCTTTGTCTGCCTCCTCTCCTCACCATGGGTTACCACTCTTCCTAGCTTTTTTTTTTTTTAATATATTTTTATTTATTTTTAGAGAGGAAGGGAGAGAGAGGTAGAAACATCAATGTTGAGAGAGAATCACTGATCAGCTGTCTCCTGCACACCCCACACTGGGGATCGAGCCCGCAACCTGGGCATGTACCCTGACCAGGAATCGAACTGTGATTTCCTGGTTCTTAGGTTGACACTAAACCACTGAGCCATGCCGGCTGGGCTCTTCCTAGCTTTGTGAGCATCCTCCCAATGTACCTTTTTGCACACAGGACTATATTCTTATCTCACTACCTTCATCCCCCATGTCAACAGGTAGCATCTAGCCAGGGGTGGGCAAACTTTTTGACTCGAGGGCCACAATGGGTTCTTAAACTGGACCGGAGGGCCGGAACAAAAGCATGGATGGAGTGTTTGTGTGAACTAATATAAATTCAAAGTAAACATCATTACATAAAAGGGTACGGTCTTTTTTTTTTTTTTTTTTTTTAGTTTTATTCATTTCAAACGGGCCGGATCCGGCCCGAGGGCCGTAGTTTGCCCAGGGCTGCTCTAGACACACTGTTCCGCACCCCCTTTGTTTACCTAGCAGCATATCCTGGAGGTCTTTTCAGGCCCGTCTCCTGTATGTGTATACCGGGCTTGTTTCCAGTCCTCCACTGTTACAGACGACAGAGAACTAATAACCTTGTGTATATCATTTGTTTGCAGTTATATCTGTGGGGCATATTCCCAGAAATGGAAGTTTAAGATCGTAGGATAAATAATTGTATTTTGATAGATGTCAAAGGGCACTGCATTTTTCATAACCAATCTAGAAAAGTGCCTGGCGTTCGTTAGTGGTTGACTCTTGTATGCAGTGAAATTCAGTAACTGAGGTTATAAATTCTTCACCGTGTTTCTGAGCAGATTGTTCATTCTTTTTAAGTGTTAGAATCCCCTGTGGGCTGCCTGTGGGTTGCTACAACATGTGATAGAATTATTTATGCCCTTACGCAATGAGAATGGACAAAAAAATACATTCTTAGCCACACAAATATGGGCCATCCCACCTATTTAGCACCAGAAAAGAACCTTGGAGCCCCACTCTCCCCACAACAGGTGCAGCGAAGAGCCTGTCTAGTCATAGAGGAGCCTGGACTAGGGACTGACTGACAAAAGCAGACAAACCTCTGAGCGGGTCACCACTAGGGAGAGGGACTCTTCCACCTTCGCTCGAATTTTTCTACTGTGAAAATATTTGGTAGGCATACATAATTGATAATCTTATAAAATACTTTGAAAAATTAGGGCAAGAATTTGGCAAATTAAGTGTGTTCCATGAATCTGCGTCCCTGGTTCCATGGGAACAGGTCTTTATCTGAGCGTTGCGCTCTTAGAAAGATGTACAAAGGAAACCAGAAAGGTGGGGGCTTTTTTGAGGGAAAACAGCAGCTGTTCTCTATGACCTAGCAGCTAAGTGCAGTTACATAGAGGTTGAATGGGAAATATTGGGGCCTTTAAAAACGAATTCTTGCTCTGACATTATCTGCTGGAATAGTATAGCAGGAATGGGATAGGGATCAGATACATGTCACAGCATATTATGGTTACTTTCCCTTTCAAATTTCTTTTGTCCCACGGGCCACTTTCCACTTGAGATTAGTATTGTATTTCCTTATTAGTTCTCTGAGATATTTGCATAATTAAAATAAATCTGGGAAAACAGTTATGTAAATAAACCGTATGTTAAAAGATAGGGAGTCTGTTTAGAACTGACTAATGTTTAGTATTTTTAACAGTTGCAAATTGATAGCCTTTATTAAATACTAAGTATTCTTCCGAATAAACATGTAAACAAGTTGCTGAACTATGCAAGGGAAAAAAACAGGCAGGGAGAAGGCAAGCAGTTTTCCCATAGCATTAGCATCCAAATCCAGTGCATCTGTAAAAAGCACCTAGGATTAGAAAAAGAGATGCTAACCCACATTAGATGTCTTTTATTAGTTATTCCCTCGTTAAAGTTTACGAAAGCACTCATTGTCTCCTTGCCTGAGGCCAGATTGGAGGGTAGTTGGCACCGTGCTTTGCCCCCAGCATTCCTTTATCCTGGCAGTAACATCTCCTGGCCATGTCCATATTCTCCATTCTGTCAGAGTGCCATTCACAGAGCTGTGATGTTTGCATGTGATGTGATAGTGCTGATCCCTTGCTACTCGCCAGGCATCGTCTAAGCCAGTGGTTCCAGACGTGGGGCACGCGCCCCACCAGGGGGTAATTTGATTTTTAAGGGGGGCAATTTGAGAATGAGTTATTAACAGTGAATTTTTTGCATTACTAATGGTTCTAGGGGACTCATATACAGTACATAAATATATAGTGACATTTATGCATTTCAGTTCTCTATTATATGTTTTGCAACTTCATTTGCTGTTTCTTCATATCACTTCATATTATTTTTTTAACAATTTCTTAGTGATTTCTTCCTCAGTACTTCAACTGTCCTTTCATTCTTTTGTTTTTTTCCTCTTTCAAGGATGCTATGTTCTTTGGAAGTTGTTTAGACCAAGTTAATGGCCTTTTAGACTTCCTCTACGTGAATAGGAGTTTACTTTTTGAATGAGAAGAATTATATGTCGGTGGGGGGGTGGGGGCGGGCACCAGGATTTTAGAGGTGCTTAGGTGGGGCATGGCCAAAAAAAGGTTGGGAACCACTGTGCTAAGCACTTGGCGTGCATCCTCCTGTTTTCCTTATAACCCTGGGAGGTAGACAATATGTTACCCTTATTTTAGGTACAAAGTATATTTTTAAAAATTGCTATTATTGTTATTAAGGCAAGTGACCTAAGAAAACACCTAGCATTAATTTTTTTCTCTTTCAAATCCCTCTCCAGCGTACTAGTAATGTTCGATCCACGTTTTTTAAGGACTGTTTATATGAAGTATTCGATGACTTGGAGTCAAAGATTGAAGACTCTGGAAAACAACTACTTCAGTCAGTTCTCCACCTGATGGAGAATGGGGCCCTGGTATTGACTACAAATTTCGACAACCTCCTGGAACTGTACGCAGCAGACCAGGGCAAACAGCTTGAATCCCTTGACCTCACTGATGAAAAAAAGGTAAAAAGTAAAGCATGAGCCTGCTTCAGGCTAGTGGAGAGAACCTGTTTTCCTTGGGAGGTTGGGTAGTGCTGGTATTTGTGTAGAAAGGAAGCTGCTCCTTCCTGCGAAGATTTTTTTTAAAATATATTTTATTGATTTTTTACAGAGAGGAAGGGAGAGGGATAGAGAGTTAGAAACATTGATGAGAGAGAAACATCAATTCAGTTGCCTCCCGCACACTCCCTACTGGGGATGTGCCCGCAACCAAGGTATATGCCCTTGACTGGAATCGAACCTGGGACCCTTCAGTCCGCAGGCCGACGCTCTATCCACTGAGCCAAACCGGTCAGGGCCGGAGATTTTTTTTTGAGATAAAAATCAATATACATAAAATGCACAGACCTTAAAAGTGCTCAGTTCTGTGAGTTTTGACAATTTCACCCAATTTTAAAGCTAGAACATAGGAAGTCATTTGAACTATAAGATCTCTTTAATATCTGATAATGTCAGGTAGTTGTAATATTTATTTAGAATTCTCTCTTTGTCCTAGCCAGTGTTGCTAAGTGGCCTGCATACAAAGCATCCCGGGTTTGATTCCCAGTAGAGGGCATGTACCTCAGTTGTGGATTCGCTCCCCACTCCCTGTTGGGACACATGCGGGAGGCAACCAGTCGATGTGTCTTTCTCACATTGATGTTTCTTTCTCTCTCTCTCTCTCTCCCCCCCCCTCCTCCCTCTTCCTTTCCCCTCTCTGCCCTCCCTCCCTCCCTCCCTTCTATTCACTCTGAAAAACAATGGGAAAAATATTCTCAGGTGAGGATTCACAAAAAAAGAATTCTCTCTTAGAATATATTGTGTGTGCCAACTCCATCTGAAAATGAATGAAAACTACTTTCGGACATCTGGCAGACCATCTTCCAGGCCAAGTGATGCTGGGTTGAGGTTAATGTTCAGTGGAAACCTCAGCGGACTTTTTTATTGTAGCCCATACTATACCTAAGCTATCTACTTAATAATAGTGAATTATAGATGTTGATCTGTGCCAGCTAACGAGATGAGGCTATTAGAATGGTCACCTGAGTTTGTAATTTGAAATCTAGCATCAATAGGACATTCTATAGCTGTACTAACATGTATTTAATTGGTGAAATTCAATGAAGCCATAAAAGGCAAAATGTTTTCATTGCCATAAAGATGTCAGAGACATAATAAGTGAGAAAAAAATAAAACAAAACAGGTTGCAAACAGCCACCTGGTCTCATTTGTCCTGCTCAGTAGTTTTTGTAATTATCCTTCTATACTTCGTTTTCCCAGGAGCCTGCCTCTGTGTCCAGCCTAGAACCCTGCTAAGTAGTTTGAATAGATGAGAGATTCACCCACTGGCTTCATTGCCTCAGTGCTGCCTCTGCCAGAGGAGCAGCTGTGGTGCCACTCTGTAACTTTGCTGACCTCAAAGCCAGGTTTTAAAAGGAAATCACTTAGGGATATGGTGCCATGAAGACTCATTTCCTCTGGCTGGAGTGTTTCCACCTGCTACTCTTAGACTCTGTGTGGCCAGTTCCTTCTTCACCTATTACGTCTCAAATAGCACCTCCTCTGAGAGGTCTTCTCTGACCGTCCTATTTAAGAAGGGACACACCCCAGCCCTGGCCAGTTAGCTCATTTGGTTAGAGCATCATCCCCGACACAAGAATCAACCAATGACTGCATAAATAAGTGGCACAACAAATCGATGCTTCTTGTCTCGCTCTCTCTTTCACCCTCCCTTCCTCGCTCTCTAAAAATCAATTTAAAAATTAACAAAAGAAAGCCAGAAGCCTAGTCGTCTTGCCTGCTGTGACCTTGAAGCGAGTGTTCAGCCCGCCCGCCTGGTTGAGCTTTCTTTGTGTTGTGCAGGTCCTAGAGTGGGCTCAGGAGAAGCGGAAGCTGAGCGTGCTCCACATCCATGGGGTCTACACCAACCCTAGTGGCATTGTCCTTCATCCCGCTGGGTACCAGAACGTGCTCAGGAACACTGAAGTTATGGTGAGTGCTGCTGATCTCGCTGGTCTTGGGAAAGCCTTCCTGGAAACCTCTAAGCGTACCATTGGTCTTCAAGGGCTAACATGTTCTTTTCATTCATTCAAAGTTGGAGGGTCAAACATCCTTTACCGTGCCCCTCAGCTTGTGGGTGTGCGTGCCATCTTGAAAAATGTACTCGAGGTATTGAGCTACAGGCTTTCCCTTTGTTCTTTTTTTCCCCATTTTATGTTTTTGTTTTTTTTTAAAATATATTTTATTGATTTTTTACAGAGAGGAAGGGAGAGAGATAGAGAGTTAGAAACATCGATGAGAGAGAAACATCGATCAGCTGCCTCCTGCACACTCCCCACTGGGGATGTGCCCGCAACCCAGGTACATGCCCTTGACCGGAATCAAACCTGGGACTCTTTAGTCCGCAGGCTGACGCTCTATCCACTGAGCCAAACCGGTTTCGGCTCCATTTATGTTTTTATTTTTGTTGATTTCAGAGAGGAAGGGGGAGAGAGAGAAATATCAATGATGAGAGAGAATCATTGAACAGCTGCCTCCTACACACCCCACACTGGTTATTGAGCCCACAACCTGGCATGTGTCCCAACTGGGAATGGAACAATGACCTCCTGGTTCATAGGTCCATGTTCAACCTCTGAACCACGCTGGCTGGACTCCCTTTGTTCTTGATGGACAGACAGCTGGTTGCCATCACCTTCACATATGGAGAATACATTATTCTCTCTTTTTATTGTTTAGTTTATTATAGTATTAATAACCCTCTCTATGCCAATAATAACTGGTGTAGCTTTTTATTGACCAATCACTACTAGAATATACATCCTAAAGTAATTTTGTGTAAATGATGATGGGCTTGTATTAATTACCACACTTATTCAAACTTACTGCTCAATGGAAAAAATTGAAAAACTTTTGGTGATAAAATAGAGGTTTTCTTCTTTGTGAAAAAATATCTTTGTTGATCTTTAAAGATGCAAGTGTTAGACTTGCTCACACATGCATGTTCAAACCAAAAAGTCTACCTCACCAATGATATGTGGGAGTGATTCACTGGCCCCCAATTCTGAAAACAGTGTATAATAGGACTGGGTCACAGAGTGATCGTATCTACATGATGCAGCAAAAGAAAGACCAAGAAAATGTGATGTTTTCTAAAGCACAAGAGCCTTTCCCCCCACATATTCTTTCCCTGGCATCTGTTGGAACTCCATTCATTGCTGACATTGTGTGATCACTTAAGAAAATCATTTCTAATGTTTCTATATTTACACATTGTTTGCGGGTAGTTTTTATCGCGCGCTAACAGGTGGCGCGTGGCGCTGACCATTTTTGCTAATTTTTTGTGCAAATGGCAACGTTCAGTAAAATTACGATAACTTTAGTTTACGTATTTATACGTTACCCGCATTCTACCACTAGTCTATAAAACAACGTATTAATACGTGTCCCGCGCTCTACTTACTACCAGTCAATGTAAAACGTATAAATACGTTTCCCGCATACAATGTGTTTACATATGTGTATATAAAGATACATACACACATAGATATATATTGATCTAAGTCTTGAGGAAATCTGGTGATGAAATTATCTTTCTGGTGGTCCATGGTTCCCTTTGTAAGGTAAAAAAAGGCAAATACAGTCCAAAAAATGGAAAGAGTAAGATATATTAAAGATCTACTCGTTGGTCTTATGGCTTCTGGGTACATAGATCTCAAAAATAAATTGCAAGGTCAGTAGACCAGTGGTAACCCCGAGAAACCCTGAATAGAGAACCTATGGACAACACCTATGACAACAATATTGTAGACATAGGTCTGATATTGGTACAGATCAGTATTAGACCAATAATCCAAGTTATAGTGATAGCTCGGCTGGTGTGGCTCAGTGGTGGAGCATCAACCCATGAACCAAGAGGTCACTGGTTCAATTCCCGGTCAGGGCACAAACAAGATCAGCTTTAGGGGCTTATCCTCCCTCTTAACCCTGGTTCAGTGGCGGCCACAGTCTGTTAAGAGCAGTGATGATGAGCCTGTGGCTTTTGTGTCTCAGACACGCCTTGTGTGTGTCTTCACCGTGTCACTTTGTTTCTTTTCCTGCAAGAGAGAGATTCAGAAACTCTATGAAAACAAGTCATTTCTTTTCCTGGGTTGCGGCCAGACGGTGGACGACACCACTTTCCAAGCCCTTTTTCTGGAGGCTGTCAAGCATAAATCTGACTTAGAACATTTCATGCTGGTTCGGAAAGGAGATATAGACGAGTTCATGAAGCTTCGAGAAAACATGCTGGACAAAGGGATCAAGGTCATCTCCTATGGAAATGACTATGCTGATCTTCCAGAGTACTTCAAGCGGCTGACCTGTGAGATATCCAC